TCGAGGTCCTTCAGATGATGGTGGTTTGGGGAATGATAGGAAGTATCCCATGGGGTCCCTGTGCCCTTCTGAGGCATGAATGGGTATACTTAAGGAAACACAAAATTCTAGACTACCTCTTGTATTGGTGGCTTCCCAGGCTCATGTGGAAAGCTAGTGATTGCTGCATCAGTTTTGTCTTTGGTGTAATGAGCTGTTGGGAGGAACTCAGCAAGCAATGGGGGGGTGTGTGTGGGTGGGAGGCACAGACCTTTCACGGAAGAATCTAGTGCTCAACTATAAAGGAAGCAAAAGGAAGCCAGCATGTGAGTCTTAGGTGCCATGAAGTTATCAGAGTTGAGGCATTCCAACTTATTCAGAACATGTTTCCAGAGCATGACACAGTTCATGACAACATTAGGTGACAGGGAAGACAAGAAAGATCAGCATTTCTCAAAGTTTAGCAACTCATGTTATCATTCATCAGCTTTGGCATGCTCACATAGTGTTCTCTACTGTTTTATTGTATCAGCTCTCCTTAAAATAACGAGTGCATGTGCATACGCACGTGTGTGTGTGTGTGTGTGTGTGTGTGTGTGTGTGTGTGTGTGTGTGTATGCACACAGGCATGTGTGCTCTCCTATGCACGCAAATGTGGAAGCCAGAGGTACATTGGGATTTGTGTGTGTGTGTATTAATTTTTCCCTACCTGACTTTATTGAGACAGGGTCTCTGTGAACATGGACCTCACCATTTTGTCTAGACTGTTTGGCTAGCAAGCCTAGTGACCTGTCTTTCAGTGCCTACCAGAGCTAGGGCTCCAGCCCTAGCTTAAACCCAGCTTTAAGTGATTTCTGGAGATCCAAACTCAGGTTCTTGTTCTTGCAGAGAAAGTGTTCTACCCACTGAGTCATTTTTTCCAGCCCCCAATATGCTTTTTGTATAAAGACATTAATAGTCCTATAAATGGAAAAACAGTATTTTCTTAAAATGCATTAATACAAATACATTCTTTTAAAAGAGTAAAATATATTTCCCCATGTAAACCACTTAAGATGAGTCTTAGATGACCAGACTACTAAATCAACCACTAGCAATATTTTCTCTTGAGGCCCGTTAGTACAGGAAGTAAAACGGCTCCATCACCATTTTGAGGCCAATTTTTCTGAATACTTCGACAATTTACTCACTAGTGGTAAATCATGATATTTTTACAAAATGATCTGCCATTTTATTATTATTATTTGAAGTTGTGGTTTGGTTTGCCTGCTTTAAAATACATGCATTAAAAATTTGATTAACAAATGGCTTCTGAAAAGCGGGTAATTTCCAATGGCTTGGCTATATTTTGGTGGGGGGAGTTGGTAAGCTGCTTTGTGAGGAGATACTGTTTCTGATTGACTGTAAAGTAAGGATGAATTTGCATTTGCTTAGTTTAGCAAGAGTAATCTAGGTTATTTAATGTTTTCTATTTAATTTTGACATATTTACTATCAGCCTCTCTTATTGTTAAGTCTGCTTTTTATTGGATGCAGTTGGGCATCATGAACCTCTAAAAAGATCTTTTTTTTATACACAGCACCACAAGGGTGTATTATTAAATATATTACAAAGGCTAAGTTCCTGCCCCCTGGGATACCAAAATTGACAGGTTTTTTTTAATACTCTCTAAACATGTTTTTCATTATGGCTCTTTTTTCCCCCAGTAACCTACAAATGATGGGGTCTCATAGTTAAGCCTTTCCCCAGTATTTTTCCAGAAAGGCTTCTGTCCCCACACAGGTTCCCTGTATAGCTCAGGGACTGGGTATTTCATTTCTTCCTACAAACTGCTGTTTTTCTTGTGGTTGGGTCCTTTGCACGTCATCTTTGCCGGTCCCTGGGTGAAGTCTGCCTATTTGACCATTTCTCTTGTATGATTAGGAAAGTGGTACTCTATACAGTTTTACAGTGTGTAAACTAAGCATATTTTTGGTTTTTATTTCATTTCATGTCATGGCACTCAGCTCCTAAAATACATTGGGTCTCTAAATGGTGGGTCTTCCTGTGTCTTTATGAAATGACAGCTCTTAGGTAATCTCTCAATGGGGGCTGCTACAGAAGAACTAATCAAAGTATTAGATGGTTGAAACTGTTCTTCCTCACCCCAAATCTGGAGAGGAGACAGACGCTGAAAGCTGAGGTGAACGTAACTGGCCCATGACTTGATCTGTTGTGCCTATGGAATGAGGCCTCCATTAAAAAGCCCTATGAGGCACAGCTGTCAAGAACACTCAGACTGCTGAACATAAGCCAGAGAGCACTGAGAGGGCAAGGCACATGGAGAAAAGCAGAAAGGCTGGACCTCCCCCATACCTGTCTGAGCACCTCTCCCCATTCTGGCTGCTATCTGTATCCTCCTTTAATATAAGTCAAGTGTTTCCCTGAGTTCTCTGAGCTTCTCTAGGAATTAATTGAACCTGATAAAAGGCTTGTCAGAACCCTGCTTTAGAGTTGGCTTGTCAGAAGAATAGGTTATCAGGACACGAAAGTATCAAAAAGATAAAAGACATAAAATCAGAATCCAGAGATTCATATAACTGAACAAGATGCTTGTGAAATGAAGATTGGGTTTTTAGAGAGTGGTGGTGGCAAAAGGTGGTCTTGGGATGGTAGGTCATAGCGTGGTGATAGGGACTCAGCAAAGATATTGGCAGCTGCAGGAATAGAATTTAAGTCATAGGAATTCTCCTTGAAACACGTATCTTTGGATATTTCCTAGCTCATGAAAAATAGCCCATATATACGTGCACAGCCCAACTTATCTAATATAAAGTCATAACTGTCAAAACAAATGCATTTTAGAATATTCTAATCATAGTTGATATTATACACTTATATAGGATTTATGAAAATAAAATATATAACTTAATTTATATTATTATTCAACCAAATTGGCGAGTTCCTATGTCAGAGCACATTTTCATATTTCCCTACTTGAGCTTTAAACTTGAACTTCCAATATAATTTGTTATCAGAATTTAGTTGAGAAAACTAAACCTTTAATTCCTTGCTGGACTGTAGATATATGTATCTTCATTAGTCAATACAGACAGTATAAATTTCCCATAGATGTTTAAGACAGAAAGTTGGTAGTCCAGAATCTTTCTTGGTCTCTTTCTTGGTCACCGGAGTTAGAGGGTTGTGGTTGGTTGCTTGGTTTAGTTTTCCACAACTGATTTACACATGGAATGTTTAATCTTCAGAGAGTGAGCTTAACTTTGAGTTTCCAATGTTAAATGTCCTAAAATAATTCTCATGCTTTAAAACACAGCAAATTTAAAACACAGTAAATTTTATATTCAAAGATAAAATGCCTAATTCTGAATAATGAGAGGGAAGGGATAATAAAATCTGGCTATGAGAATCTCATAACCAGATCAACATAGAAAGGTATAGGGGGGACATAACATACTATAAACATAGTATATGAACAACTTCTTTGGAGAAGTTCTCAGACTTCATAATCAGCATTCTATACTTGCCCTTTTCTTTATGATGGTATATTTCATTTTTTCTCTCAACATAAATGCATAGAAAAAATTAATTCTATTCTTCAAAGAAGTTGTTATTGTGTTTTAAAATAATTACATGTTTTTTAATTATAAGCATGATGTTTTAAAAGCTTATTTAAAAATTTAAGAGTTTCCAAAATTTTTGAATTATTTAAATAAGTGGACAAACAGTACCACAAAGACAGGCAAGGGTGTTAAGTTCCTCACAGCAGTGGAAATCCCAGACTTCACTAGCCATGGGAACTCTGCTTTGTATGTCTAACAAGTAGTGATTTGGAACCAATTCCAAATGTGTTTCTAAATTCTGGAGTAAACATCTGCATTTAAGAAAATGGTGCTACACACAGAAACACCTGACCTGAGCAAGTGGGAACTCATGGACCCCACAGCTGGGGAACCAACATAGGACCAAAAAAGGCCCCTGAACGTGGGTGTCAGCTAGGAGCACTGAGTAGTATATGGGGCCTCTGGCATTAGAACCAGGTTGTATCCTTAGTGCACAAATGGACTTCGGGAGCCCATTTGCCATGGAGGGATACTCTTTTAGCCTAGACACACAGGGGAGGGCCTAGGCCCTGCCCCAAATGACTTGACAGATTTTAATGATTCCCCCCATGGAAGGCCGAACCCTCCCTGGAAAGTGGATAGGGGATGGGATGGGAGTAGTTGGGGGGTATGGGAGAATAGGAGGCAGAGGGAACTGGGATTGATATGTAAAATAAGATTGTTTCTAATTTAAATTAAATTAGAAAAAAGAAAGAAAATGGTGCTAGATGGGCACATGAGAATTGACAGGTACCAAGTGATTGTTTGATGTCAAAACTTCATGAGCACTCAACTTCACACTAGCTCTGTGACATCAAGAGGAAAGTCCTCCAAACAGAGTGATAGAACATTGGAGGAAATAGTTCCAGTGCTGTGTCAAACAACTCCATCTTTCTTCTATTCATTCTGGGTTTGAGGAAATGGAGAGGACTTGAAAGGTCATTAAGATCAGGAATCTCTCCAAACTGGCAGAATGAAGTCCACAAAGCAAGAGGCTCCATCTGAGGCTCAGTTCTGTCATTGAGGAGGTATCCTCTTTTTCAAGAACATTTTCTGGAAGTCACAGACAACTCTTGCAAAGAAGCTATTTGTTTAGGAAGAATATAGTAGGAAATTACCAATATGGAGTCAGGAAGAAATATAAGGGTATTTAATAGGGAAAAGCCTTACTTACAGAGCGAACCAGCCAGCCGGTGGTAGTCTGCACAGCAAGAAGCAAAGAGAAACCAAAACCAAAAATACAGACCCCCTACTCACTCTGACCACGCCCTCACAAGCCTGCTCAGGTACCCCTGTAGCCAGCCCCTAAGAAGGCGTGGCTACAGCTTCCCCTACAGAAGAATGTTGTGTTCCATTTAGTTCTCACGTTCTGTAACCCACAAATGGAGAACTGGAGATTGGTTTTGGAAAATGGTAGCTTACCTGCCATCTGATTCTTGATTGTGGCATATCTGTGTTTGTATGTGTCTGTAAAATGTATATGTAATACATAATAAGAGTTACATATATATTTATATTACATAAACAAGAATC